GTCCCGGCAGCGACCAGTCAACGGCAATATCTGGACGGGTAAGCGCAGCAAGTCTTGTCCCGCCGAAACCGATCAAGCACCCGTGCATACCGCAGCTACAAGAGCCCAAGAACCTGCTTCTGGTGAAGAGGAAGAATGTGAGGGGAAGACTCGAGGCGCAGCAGAACTTGACCAAGTCTGCGCACTGCCTACTGCGCCACCTAGTGCGAAGGGTGACCGGGCGGGACGCCTAATCACTGAAGCACCAGGACAATCGGAGTTGCAGACGGCGCAACAAGAGGACGCGGTACTCAGTGTCATGCGGAATGCCTGTCTGGGCAGTCGGGAACCACCGCACGATCACCCTCTCGCCGAGTGGGAGCTACTGCGTGGGAGCTGGACGCAGCTCGAAGTGCGGGAGGGCGTCCTCGGCATGAGGACGAAGTGGGGCTTCCGGGCCCTGGTCCCCGATTCGATGCGATCAAGGATCATGACGCTCGCCCATGACCATCCGACGTCCGCACACTTGGGACGGAGTCGAACGACGGAAAGAGTGCGACAGCGCTTCCTCTGGCCCGGCATGTTCGCGGACATCCGTCGGTACTGCAGCACGTGTGACCTTTGCCAACGGCGCCATCGCCCTGCACCGAAGAAACGGGCTCCTCTGGTGACGGAGGTCACGAGTCAACCATTCCGCAGAATCGCCATTGACATCACTGAGATGCCGGTGTCGAAGAATGGCAACCGATATGCAGTAGTCATCATGGACTATTTTTCTAAATACGTCCGAGTGTACCCAGTCAGACGGCAGGATGCCGAAACCGTAACCACGGTGCTGTTGGATTGGGTTTACGACATGGGGGTGCCAGACAGGATTCACTCGGACCAAGGAGGCCAATTTGAGTCTGCATTGTTCCAGTGCATGTGCAAGCGACTGGGCATCCAGAAAACGCGTACAACGCCCTATCACCCTGAGAGTGATGGTATGGTGGAGCGTTTTATGAGAACACTCAAGGACATGGTCGCCAAATACGTTGACCCTCAAGGAGCGAACTGGGACGCTGACATCAAGGCGTACTGCATGGCCTACAACACCTCTGTGCACAGCGTCACCGGATATTCCCCGTTCTTTCTGCTGCACGGATTCCACCCGAAAACGCCACTCGATGCGGTCATCAACCCTCCGGATCGGGCGGTAAATATCCGGTGCTACCTTGAAGAGCGTCTAAAGGCCATTTCAGAGGCTTATCAGACGACTATCAGGAAAACCCGGGCCAGTGCTACGGAGGCTGCGACCCGATTCAACCAGCGCGCGAGCGGAAAAGGGTTCGAGGCTGGTGACCGGGTATGGATTCGGGATAATAGGGTCTCGGTCGGCGGGAAGCCGAAGCTGGGACTGTACTACAAAGGCCCGGGCACCATCATCGGCCGCCTTGGAGGGGAGAGAGGAGTAACGTACCTCGTCCGTGACGACAAGGGCAAGGAAAAGGCTCTGCACTTCAACCAGCTAAAGCCAGCTGTGGAACGGGAGTCCCACAAACAGGAAACGTCTGGAAGCACCCGGAGGGACGACGCATCGGACACAGCCACAGAAACGCGTCCCAGGAAGCAGACGGGGTCCGAGGAGACTGGACCGGATCCACTGGCGTTGTACTACCTCTGCCGGCGGGCCCGAGATCAGGTGGGGAATGGGGGTACATCTGTGCGGGGCGCGTATGTGACCAGGTCTGGCAGAGTGTCGCTCCCCCCAGATCGTTTTCAATCCTAGGCCTCGGATGCTCTCGATGTGCATCACCAGTGTCTGAATCAGTTTGTATTTCCGGTCGCGTTCCGGTCGCGTAGTGTGTCGCGTTTCTTTGTTACTTGACCAAGTGGAAACGTTTCTTTTATGGGGGGAGGAGTGTTGGGATATTGTGACCGCGGACCGGTCGTGCGGGGCCGAGGCGCGGGCCGGGCCGGCGGCTCGGCCGGCCGGCCGGCGAGCCGCCTGACCGCCGCGCGGTCACCGCGCATGCGCTCTGTGCCGTGGTTATATAAGGGCGCGACCGTGACCGGACTGGGTCAGTCGGCGGGTCGCCGTGTCCGTGCTTGGTCTTCGGTCGCTGGAAGCACAATACACCGTGTCGTGGTATATGCAGCTTTACTTGGCCCTAACACGTTGGACCCCCCCCCCCCTCTTGCCGTTTCGCCCCTGATCGAGCTAGAGGCTTCTCGGAAAAAACGAGCGTGTTGCCCGTGACGAGAGGAAGCCGAAGATACCCAATTTTAAGGTCCTAGGTCATTGGTTGACCTTCCAGGTCAGGTCAATGACCCAAAAGTCGGGAAAATCGGGACCTGTTAGAATGTCGTATAGTGTGGCTGCTAATAGGTTTTTCGGGGTGCTGATCACGAATATCGTGTTAGTTTTGATCACAGATGATGTCTTCATGCATTTAGGCCAGGTCGGGTCAGGTCAGGTCAGGTCAACCAGTAGGGGTCCTGCCGGGTATTCGTAGTAGGTGTCAACCGCCTCTAACAGCTTCGTAACATGTTACGAAGGCACCAAAACTACTTTGTAAACGTTCATATGGTTGTTAAATTCGAATTCAGCTCCAAAAACTGGCCTAGAAACATGTAAAACTCGAAAAAGTGAACCGAGGTCATCAAAGGTCAATGACCTGACCTGACCTTCAGGTGACCTTGACACCCACCCTAATGCATGGGACCAACATCATTTCAGATGTTTGAACGCTTGAAACCACGAAAAGACTGCAAACGCGCCGCTAATGCGAGCCGACATACGCCGAATCGCGATTCCGGCCAAACATGGTCTCGAAAAGTAGGTCACAGGTCAAAGGTCATTTGGGTCAGGGTCATGAAATTTTCAGGGTAGGTGTAAAATTGATCAACTCGAGGGTACTGAAAGTTTCATCGCGATCGGCCGCTTTTTACGCGAGTTATTCGCGAAAAACCGAGGGGGGTCCGTTCGACCCCCCTATACGGGCGATGGTTAAGCTTATTTTGAAAATTTTATCAAAGCTTAGGTTAGGTTATACCTAATTTGACCGCGATAGGTCATCATCACTATGCATGCATAGTGCACGTGTCAGTCGATCCGTGTTGCTGAGCACCTGAGCTGAACATGTGTACATAGGTATTCAAAGTGCTTTCATCGCTCTTGAGTGAATTCACTCAAGGTCAGACATTTAAAGTTTAGACATTAATGTCTAAATAAAAAATTATGGTCGAAATTGCTGGAACCCTTTGATGACTTTTGATAGATGACCTACAGGGTGTAAGATGGACCATTTGGTTGGAACATCAGACAGACATCTCCGCAGCTGTCAATTGAATTAGGCGCTTTTTGTGCTGCTTGGAAATTAGGTAAATATAATTTTGGGAAGGGTCTTCTAGGCAACGTCCGAAATTTACAAAAATAAACGCTTAACATACCTATAAATTAACAAAACAAAGTTCAGTGTAATGTCCGTATCCGTAGGTATTGAACCGCACAGGTCATGCAGCAGAACACAAGGTAGCAAAGATTCGGTGAATTTCCTTATTGTTTGCAATAGTAGGGAAGCTTATTGGAGATTACGGCTCCTCGAAGCGTCAATGCCACCTTTTTGCATCCGCCAATGAAAGTAGGTGTACGTAACGCGTACGGCAGGCGGTGACGCTCGTCCGAACTGTGCTATGCGGTACAGCCTGCATTCAGGCGTTTTCCTCGTCGCCACCTAGCGGCCAAATTGTAAGTACCACTGCCATCTTCACCGCTAGGTGTCCGTCACTCCGCGGCATCTGTGCTCTTGAGCTGAAATAAAGATGAGCTATTCCAAGATTTCCGGTTTCAGCAAAAGTCAATTTGAGCTGCGGGCTCGCGAGCATTCAAGCCGCCGCCACCTTTGAAGGCAGCAGCGATATACCCCTCACCGGCCGAGGGGAGGGGGCGGGTGCCGCCCCCCCCCCCATTGGAATTTTTTCGCGATAGCTCCGAACACGCTGGGGATAGAGAGCTGAAACTTGGTATACCTGACCTTTGATTCCAGCCGGATCTTTTCACACCAACTGCATTTTCGGGTCAGGTCAGGTCACTGACCTATGACCGTATGACGTCATAAGTGAACCTCTGCACGGTCTTCAGATGTCGCAACTTCGCAACGCCCTCACTGCCAGGGGAGCTTTCACAGGGAAATGAAACTTGCAGGATCTAATATCTATTACGAGTCTCACAACTTGCATATCTCAGATTTTTCCTAAAGGTCCTATGAGGTCAGGTCATTTTCGTGACCTCCACTATTAGGGTCAATGGGGAAAATGAAAACTGCTATTCTAGCGCCGGAAACGATCTCCAACTATCTCAAGCACACAGAATCGTGATATGATGCACTCCTTGCAAGGTCAGATGCGTCACTTTTGCAATGTTGACCTTGCGTGACTTCATTAGGGTCATATTAGTTTTTCGTCAATAACTACCGATCAAATTGAGATAGCGAGTCGAGAAAGCCACCGGGCACCAATAGTCCCAGGAAGACTTGCCAAATAGAATGATACGATATGCGACATGACCTACTTCAACCAATTTCGTGACCTGGGAGTGCTGACCTGACTGTGACCCGGGGTCAACGTCCCAAGTTGGCCTCACCCAAATAAAAAGTATATCATTCGACGCGCCTGAGCGAGGCGAACACGAGCTGCCGAAATTGCGGCTCTGTGGCCGTTTATTTGCGAAATTATTCACCAACAACGGAACCGTACCTTGGGGCACTTGACCTGACCTCAGAGGTCACCGGTTGACCTAGGACCTTAAAACTGGGTATCAATCTCTGCGTCTCGTAACGGCGCACACGCTCGTTTTTTTCCGCGACGCGCTAGCTCCACCAGGGGTGAAACGGCGAGGGGGTTCGTACCGCCCTCCCCCCCTCGGCCGGCGCGTAGGTATGTAGAAAACCAATAGGTCTGGCGAGGGATACTAGTACTTTTACAGTTTGTGTTAATGCGAAACTACCGTTATTTAGATTATTAAATTGAATTCACGGTACGGCCGCATTGTTGGTATATTGTAGCGAACTTCGGTGATACAGAGGTGCTCGACACAATGGTAGAAACAACAAATAGCGCACCAAATGGTTATTGGCTTAAAAGTAAAAAAAAAGATACGTGAACTAGCGCTAGCTAATACGAACCGTGCACTAAGCAGCGGCAAACCAAAATGCCTGACAATGTACTTCACGAAGCAGTCTAACAGTAAGACATACCTCTATAGCAAGATCACCGGTGCACGGTACATCTATATTACTATAAAACCGCATTCTCAACGCGACTAGCCTTGTGTAATGCGCATGTATTTTGCACTTCAGTTAATACCGTCAACACACAGCAGTTATTGACGGATTGGCATGAAGTGAGGGCCGCGGCAGCCCGGTTTATACAGCCCTCTCTCACTTTGTCGCCACCCTTTCGCTACTCTGTGTTCGTCCATCCACAATCCTCATCATCGAATACGGGTCCGACCACGTCCACTCTCCACTCAACACCTCGGCCAGGCCTTTCCGAATCCCGACCTCACTCCGCCCCAGCTGCCACCACACTCGGCTCGAACTCAGACTGCACTCGGCTCCAACTCCAGCCACACTCGGCTCGAACTCAGACTGCACTCGGCTCCAACTCCAGCCACACTCGGCTCTAACTCCGACTACACTCGGCTCCAACTCCGACTAACACTCGGCTCCAACTCCAGCCACACCCGGCTCCAACTCCGACTACACTCGGCTCCAACTCCGACTACACTCGGCTCCAACTCCCATTACACTCGGCTCCAACTCCAGCGACACTTGGCTCGAACTCCGGTCACACTTGTGTCCCGCTTCGGCCATACCACGCTCGGCCCTTAGCCCAACGGCCAGTCGCCCACCTGTACCCCACATCAGTCGCCCGCCAGAACCCCACATCAGTCGCCCGCCAGAACCCCACATCAGTCGCCCGCCAGAACCCCACATCAGTCGCCCACGAGGTGCGTACATCAGTCGCCCGCGAGGACCGTACATCAGTCGCCCACGAGGTCCGTACATCAGTCGCCCACGAGGACCGTACATCAGTCGCCCACGAGGTCCGTACATCAGTCGCCCACGAGGACTGTACATCAGTCGCCCATGAGGACCGTACATCAGTCGCCCATGAGGTCCGTACATCAGTCGCCCACGAGGTGCGTACATCAGTCGCCCAGAGGTCCGTACATCAGTCGCCCACGAGGACCGTCCATCAGTCGCCCGCGAGGACTGTACATCAGTCGCCCGCGAGGTCCGTACATCAGTCCCCCACGAGGACGTGGTGGCCGGGCCGGCTGTGCTGCTCGCACCAGCGCACCACCTCCAGCACCACCTGGTGGCGGCGGCTGAGCGCGCTCAGGTGCGGCGCCGTGAGCAGCGGCCCCAGACGGTCGGCGGCGACCACCGACATCAGCGGACCCAGCTGGCCGGCCGGCACCGCGCGCAGCGCGCGCCACGTGCGCCGGCGCAGGCTGGGAACACGGCGCCCGGCGTCAGCGTGGGGTGGGGAGGGGAGGGGGGGGACTATATCGGGACGGTATGTGCACTATGCAGAGTGCAGGGTGCCGTGTGGGCACAGCAACACACAAATAGCTGTATTGCACTGAGCATAACCGAAAAACTTGCCAAAAAGAATGACCAGGCGGGATGCTGAGAGCAGCAGTCGGGTCAAAAAGATACCACGGTGACTATAAATAGCAGATACATAGTGAGCAGTTAGGTGGAAGCTTTTCAACACCATCGCTAAAAGTTGGAAATGGGTACAGTAGTACTCTGGCATTCCTCAAAGAAGGACTGAACTGGCAGGCCCCAGGCCCCAGTACACCCTCCAGTGTCCTGCTGCCGGCACTGACCCGTCCCTGACAGCACTGGTAGTCCGAGTTCGCTCGGTGGAAAGGAGCGGGACTGTCCGTCTACTGACTGACCTGCAGCACTGCAGCAGCGGCGCCAGGATGTCCAGGTGGTCCACATCAGCGTCCCCGAAACTGGCGGCGGCAGCCAACAACCCGACCGTAAGTCAGCGCTGTCACAACAATTACACAATACACACCCATAGCACTGTACAGTGTACATGGCAGCTGAGGCGGTTTGAGGTTGCTGACTTCTTACAAATACCGTTCCAATGTATTGGTATAATCTGCCTCGATAAACAGGGCAGGCAGCAACAACACAAGTCATTTGAAGTGTTTCGACAATTCATCTCTGTTCTTTGCGCAGTAAGACGAACTACGAACTAGATACATATTGCCCACAAATCCCCTTACGCTTGTACACGGCTTTGATGCGGCGATCCTGACCTCTTGCCGTTGTCGATGAGCACCATGGGCCCGCCGCGGCCGAGCGTCTCGTAGTGGTGCCGGTCGCCGTTCTGAATCAGGAAGTCCAACACAGCGGCGTCCACAAGGTCGAGCAGTCGGTGCGGTTTGAGCAGGGAGCGCACGTGGCGGCAGAACTGGGCCTCCTGCTCCCACCTGGACGGACGCCGGGGCACGGCGCGGTCACAGCACGGAGACAAATACACGGCGAATGTAGCCGGCGACGGCGGCAATGCCCCGCTGGTAGGCAAAACAGTAAACACTAACTACATGAGCAATCGCGGTATATCAACCAGAATATTTATTGTCTTGTTGGTAAACCACAGCATTGGAAACTTGGAGAGAAAATGCGGACTGTTCCGGATGGTATTATTATGGTAGTGCAATTAACGTGACAAAATGAAAAAAATGTGATTACTTTTTAAAGGAGTGAGTCGGCAAATGTATGCATGAGCGAACGAATATAAATGAGCAGCGAAGCGCAATCCTGACTGACTTGATTAATTAACTGAGTAATGATCAAAACAAAGACAAAGTTGCCAAGAAAAATTATTTTACAAATGAAAAAGTCGCGAGCATTTAAAGAAATTACCATAAAACTGCATTTACCCGAGGTCAATACAGGGTTGAATGAGAGCAGCGACAAAACACCAGGAGCCAACAAAAACACAGCGCGTCGAGTAGATCACCACCTTCGCCGGCTCAATAAACAGAACCTATCGCATCCAAACGGCACCCTACCGCGGCTGCCATATAAAACAGCTATTCATCAAACCAGTCACAGCTCGGTGAGCTCGCAGCTCACACTGTGGTCGTACCCACGTCCAGTGGCGGCGGAACACCTTCGATTAAGGGGGACACTGCCTACTTTTGGTCCCATTCTTAGCATGCAACGCCCATAGGGATAATGTTAAAATGCCAAAATCAAAGGGGGCACGGTGCCCCCCTCGTACCGCCGCCTATGCCCACGTCTCCCTCCCAGCCAGGACCCCCCCCCCCCCCCGGTCCCTTACCTCGCCGGCTGGCCGTTGTAGGTGCGCTGCCAGGGGTGCGGACTGTGGGTCTCTTACCTCGCCGGCTGGCCGGTGTAGGTGCGCTGCCAGGGGTGCGGGTGGCTGCGCAGCGAGCCGCCGGCCGGCAGCCAGAGGACCGCAGCGCCCGCCAGCAGCCCGGCGCTGTCCGTGCAGACGGGCCGCTCCGGGGAGCAGTAGCGGCACTCGCCCGACACACAGCAGCGGGGTCCTGGCGCACGGGGCGACAACGGTCACGGCCAAACGCCGATGGTGAGCCACCGTCCACCGGTCACAGTCATACCACAGCCAGAGTACGCATGAAGCTGACGACAAATGCGCGAAAGGGGATTTTCAAAGATTGCCACACCGCCGTCCCACCTCTCCGGGTGATGGTCCGTCGCAGTCGGGCGGTGGCCACGGGCCGCACCTCGGCGTCGAGCCGCAGGGCGCGTCCGGTGACGGGCGGCGCGCGGCCCACAGCCAGCAGCCGCTGCAGGTGCCAGCTGGCCAGCTCGGCGTGCGGCCGGTCTCGGCCCGAGAGCAGGCCGCCGCGCAGCGGACGGTCCCGGCGGTACCTGCACGGGGGAGGAAGGGTGTTAGAGGTACCCACATCCGACCGTACCTGCACGGCGCCGGGCAGTCATGGGGTGTTGGAGGTGTATCCGACAGCCAGCGAAGAGTTAGAAATATACCACTGCTCCGAGTAGTCAGCAGGTTCCCCTCACTGATTATGACAAGGTAGGAGGGTGTATTACATCAGGCCACCACAGCCAGAGAGAGCGGCAAACGTCCGGTCCCTGGAGGCCGAAAGGTACGACCGACAGAGGGGATTCACCATTGCGGCTTGAACAGAATCTGCTGGTCTCCCTCCAGTGTCAGCAGCAGCTTCAGCTGGCTGCCGACCGTGGCGACATCTGCGCTGGTGATGCGGCCGGTTGCCATGGCAACCAGCGTGTCTCCGAACCCCGGCCACGGCTCAAACGGGCCCTTCCGCGACAGCGACTGAGAACAGAGGAGCCGGCTGTCGGGAGCTGCTGGTAGCCGGACTTCGCCTACGATCTCCGCGATGATCCTATATCGGCAAACGAAGAATATCTTAAACATCCGAATAATATCAAAGCATGATTGTCAAACAAACCAAAGACACCCGGTTTATCGAAACACGCCTCACAATGTAGCAGTGCCGGGTGCTCGCCACCTCTCTTACTCTGTCTCTGACGTGCCCAGCCCGGCGGCGCTCCCCTGACCCCTCACCTGCGCGGCCTGGCGCCAGCCGGCCGCCGGCGCTCCGCTGGGGCGCAGCTGGTGCAGCAGCTCCGAGACGCGCCGCACCAGCCGGGCCGTCAGCGGCTGCGGCCGCAGCTGCAGCTGCGCCAGCCGCTCGGTGAGCTGGCGCAGCTGGGCGGGCAGCTGCAGCCGGCCGGGCCGCAGCTGCGCCCCGCCGCCGTACAGCGGGAGGGCAGCCCCCACCTCCTGCGACGGAGCGGCGGCGGGTCAGTCGGCCAGCGCCCCGAGAACCGTAACACACTGTAGCAAACTTTAGCCAGAAGTTCTTCATTTGTGACAAAGTGTACCGAAGTCTTCATTCAGTCCTACCAATCATTGAATAAAAAAGAAATACAGTATAACTACTGGTGTTCTTGTAGTCATGTGTTATGTCCTAGTAATGAAACAAAACAGCATTTGCTAGAAAATGTATCTTGTAAAAATATGGTATCACATATTATGACACATATCAAGATGATTGTTTTGTCTTATGCATCAAAACATTAGCAGGTAGGTATGTAAAACACAGTATGGTATGATATGTATGAACTATGCGAATTAGGTATAAATGTTTTTTTTTACAGATTTGAGATTATACTTACCTTCCCATAACAGTGCATACTACATAGGTATGATGTTACTTGAGTAGTTATCCTGAGACAATAAGAATTAGCTATAAATGCAGCCTAGCCTGTAAATTATAGCAATTTCAGACACTCATGAATAATTAAACCATCTGTAAAACTTGATTACTCCAAAAATTGAACTGTACTTCATGCTCTATTGTCAAGGTAGAAAGGTCTAAAGCACTAATTCAAATGAATCTGATAAATTGTCTACAACATCACCAAGTGGCTCCACAAAGCCACAGAGGTAAGGTAAAATCATGTTCCAAGATGAGATTATGACACCCATTCAGGAGTCTACCTATTGCCTAGTGCCTACCAACCTGAGCTGAACCAGTAACTTTTAATCTAAAAAGCAGAATCTAAGGTTTCCCTTGCTGTGTGGCACACATGGACAGGGTTATAATTTCCAAAATAAGCAAATAAGCTGGGCTGCCATTGCACCACAAAATTGTGATTCATGTCCCATGATGAATCTGAAATTACTAATTGGGTTAGGTTTAAGTAGTCCATGCACAGTAGCCTTAACAATTAACATGGTATAGCACTATGGAAAACAAATGGGTGGAGAGAACAAGCCACACAATAGAGATTAATATAACAAAATACCAACCATGTCTTGAAGCTTTTCCAACAAATACCTTTGATGGTCCAAATTCTCTTGAATCAAACAGGTTAATTTTAGCCTGTTGATTTCATGTGCCTTCAAGGGACATTTACTCCACTGACATTCATCTATTGCGCTATATGCTGTGAAGCATAACAAGACAAAATGAGTATCATGGCAGCTCACCAACATTTTCCCTTTGAATGGACTAAGAAGCATGCTGCTGATTTATCTGAGAAATGATATATCAGGTAGCTATCAAAATAATAAATAGCCTATGTCTGTTAGTAAATAGCAGACTGAAGAAGGCAATCCATCAGCAAACAAGGATAGTAGACACTAAAAGAGGCTATATCTTAATATCTGATGTAAGTGTGGTTAAGCTTTTCAAAATGAAAATAATACAATTGTATATTGGTATCTAGATACAATTACAAAAGTAAGAAACATATGAATTTTAAAATTAATACAGTTACAAAATGTGGATAACATTGGTATGTATGAAGGCATGTGTAGGTAGGTGCCTATGCTTCAACAGTAAAGAGCGATCCATGAATCGGAATGGAATAGTGATTACTGATACAATAGTTATTTTATCAGCATTTCAATGGCAAATTGCAGAATGCAGGGAAATAACATTAACTTTGCACATCTGCTTCATCAATAGTAAGTGACATTCACAAAACATGGGGCAGCCTCAACAATTCTACAATAACAGTCATCTGATAACAGTCAACGCAGTCAACGATGTTCTTAGTAAATCAAATTCATCAGTATTTTAAGCCTGATGTTAGGTACCTACTCACCTAGTTCAGTTGCTTTCCCATCGCTGCAGAACATTATGTTTTTATTGACTGCAGCACAGTTTGGTATGAAGACAAAAAATAAGGCACATGATTGTATAAAATCATCTTCCTTCATTATCAGCTTCTTCAGTGCCTTGGCAGTTGGCACGTAGGTTATCTCTAGGTCCTAGGAATCCTGGAAGGTTCCTCAGTGTTTCGTTACCAAGTGCGCTTTGTTTGTTTTGTTGGGTTAGGCCCTTTCGGTCGACAAGACCATTGCAGAGCCGGAAGGATGATAGGAATTAGGGGGAGACATTGGTCTGGGCAGGCACCCTAGTGAGTCGCCGGGGCTGAGCCCGTCCGAAGACAGGCCACCCAGCCCCAAGGTACTCACTGCACCCGGCTACGGGGTGCGCTCCCTCGGGAGCAGCGGTGCCGCTCCAAGGGAGCAGCCCGCATGAGATAAAGTTGCCTGTCCAGCCCGGATGGGGGTTGCGGCGTGGAGGAGAAGGATTTCAGTATCCTGAGGATAGAAGCACGGAACGGTGACCAAGTGCGCACTGTAAATAACTATAAATACTCATCAAAATAATCACCATGGTTTTCACCGTTTTCACAGTAACTCACTTTTGTATCTGCCGCGCCAGCACTTACAAAAGTTGGCGGTACTAAATAATAGTAGGCGCAGGAAAGCTGGCAGCTAAAAATAAGAATAATGTTAATACCTATGATTTTCGTTTTTCAGCTTTGCTGTTTTGGATTGGGACGCATAAATCTAGTAAACTAGTGTATTGAAGAACTCATAAGAGAAACTTTAGCTCTAAAACGTTAGATTTTACAAGCTCGCAGTACGCACTTCAGCGTAGGACGGGGTACGCTCGTACACTGACAAGACAGCCACGCAACCAACACGACCGACCAGTTGGCGAGCGGCCGGCAGCCGAGCATTCTAAAATGGTCCGTGAGGGCAGGCACTTGGACAGGCTCCCACCCAGGGCGCGAGACTGAGGTGTAGGCTATGTATCAGCTGACAAGTGGGGGGGGGGGGGGGCTCAATGTGACGGCCGTTTTGATTTGTTATTGCGTATGTGGATTTACTTTTTTAATCTCGCAGACAAGCGAGCTGTGCCGATGTATTCCCACTGTCCTCCTCCCCGATAAGCGAGATGAATAATACAGCATTAATTCCTGAGAGGGGCTTCCTATCTAGTCCCCACCCAGCCTTTGATCTTTAGCCTTTGAGAACCAGTGAAATCACTTCTTGGGTTTTGTATTGACGGCGAAGTACCTCAAGGAAGGCATTACAAAACATGAAAGTAGTAAGTTATCGCGACACCTAATTTCCAAAACGGCGCAGAGTCAGCGCGAGCAACACAGTATGTACACCGGCTCTCCCGTCCTGTGTCCTCTCTCTCGCGCGCGCTCACACACACCGACTCGTGGTTCCTCCAATGCCCTGGCCGGCACCGCGGGCCACCGGCCGGCCGTATCACAAGTCTAAAGGTACGTGGCCGGCGGCCGAGCGGACTTACTGAGGTTAAAACCGCCGCGGTACGGGCGCCGCCGGGCCGGTGGCACCGCCGCCCGGCCACCACGCGCCTTTGTACCAAAACACATGATTATCTTCCAAACAATTTGTGCCTCACTGTGAAGCGCCTATGTACAGACGGGCAGCGGCACACACTACCACATATTTAACATCGAACACAGAAGAGCGGGTCCGTTTTGCCGTTTCGAGTCTCGCACGCACACGCTGCACACGGGAGCGGAAAGTGGCGACACGCGCCGCCGGTAGGTACGGAGGAGGGCGGCCCGGCGGCGGCGCACTCAGTTGGCCGGCCAGTAGCCGCCGCCGTAGCTATTCTTGGCGGCCGGCTTGTTGGCGGCGGCGGCGCGCTGCGGGCCGCCGCCGGCCGACTCGGCGTGCGCCGGGTGCACCAGCTGGTGCTGCGCCGGCAGCGGCTGGATGAACATGTGCGGCGCGTAGCCGCCCGGCGCCGCCAGCGGCGTCGTCTGCGGCTGGCCAGCAGCCAGGCTGAACGGCGGCGGCGTGGCCGCGTGGAAGCCCTTGTTGTCGAACTTGCCGCCGAGCTGCTGCATCTTGCCGTAGAGGTCTGCGGCGCCGGCCGAGCCCGAGCCGGCCAGCTTGTGGGCGGCCGAGCTGCCGAACTGGGCCGCCTTGTAGTCGGCGCCGGCCGCCGACGCCAGCGTGTCGTAGGCGCTGCCGGCGAACGAGGCGGCGTTGTAGGCCATCTTGGGGTACTGGCTGCCGCCGCTGGAGGCCTGGTGCGCCGCGTTCGTCGCCGGCGGCATCGGCGTGTAGATGCTGTACTGCGGCACGAACGGGAAGTAGGTGTAGTTGGGCGGGATGCCCGCCGCCGCCGCCGCGTTGAAGAACGGCTGCTGCTGCTGCTGGCCCTGAGGAAGGGGGGGGGGAGCGTCAGTGACGGGCGACGGCCACAGGCTGCGTGTTGGGTAATGGTTAATCTGATGGGAGAAACGTAACAGGGATGTGCAATAAAAACACGCCGTCCACATGAGCTAGAGCGGTAATAGAGCACACATATCTCGTTCGATTTAGCGGATAAGTCTGATAATAAGACTGCCGAAACAAGAAAATGAGCGTAGGAACATAATGTTTGTCAAGTGACTATCTGGAATATATTAACGCTGTAATAAGACGAAAGAAAATACGCAAAGAACTAACGAAAAATATATTATCAAAAGCAAAAAGTGATAAACAAGTTTCATCAGAAGAGGGGAAGAGAAACTAGCAGCAGCGAAAGTTAGCGGCCAATATTAGCATCGCGTGAGACAAGCGCAAACCAGCTGGAAGGAACGCAGCCTAGAGAGACTAGACAGATAAAAAGCCTAGAAGTCTATAAGAGAGCCTCGGTAGACGGACTACCGCGCGGCCTCAGCCGTCGGAGTAGACCTGCGGGGCCGACTCCACTGAGGCGCTACAAGCTGCGCGTGCGGGCGGCGGCGGCCGATGAAGCGGGGCGGACTGGCGGACTGGCGGACACACCTTCACCTGCTGGTTGAGGGACGACTGGACGGGCGAGGCGGCCTCCTGGCGGCTGTACTTGGTGTCGGCCATGGCGGCGACCAGCGCGGCGGCCGCGTCGCCGCGGCCCTGGCTGCCGCCCGCCTGCTGCGCCGCCGCCGCCGCCGCCGCCTGCTGCTGCTGCTGCTGCTGCGACACGCGGGGAGGGCGGCGGTCAGGTACGGACAGGAACACTGGCCAGTCGCGGCCGGTTAGGGTGCATGCGTGTGTAGCTTCGGACTCACGACGCAGTTTGTCACAATCTACTGAGTTCCGCTGGTTACGAGCGAGCGAGCGCAGCGAGCGAAGCGAGTCTTTTCAATATAACGGAAAAATCTCAATCGAGCGGCCCGGCCCGGCCCGGCCTGTAACGCTTTTGAGAGGCTTATATCTCAGCAACCGCTGGACCGATTGGCCTGCGGCCTTTTTTGCTGGGTAGCCCCATCCCTTCTACCCCGTAATTGACTACTTTTGATACATCTCAGTGACCGTCGTGGCACGTACCACGTGAAAAGTCAAGGGTGTTCAAGCTGTTTTGCAAAAGTAGTGATTTTGAGAGGCTCATATCTCAGCAGCCGCTTGGGCGATTGACTTGCGGTAATTTTTATAGGGTAGCTGCATCCTTGCTACCAAAAATAGGATACTCTCGATACATGTGGGTCACCCTCAGTGCACGTGCAAAATACAACAATAAGAGGTGTGAAATTTGTTCCCATTTTAATAACTCAGTAATTACTGGGGCGATTTCGCTGAAACTTGGCATACAGGTAGGCACCCACCAGGCAATGCATTCCCATGTGAATCGGTTAGGGTGCTACTGCACGTGCGCACGTGCAGGGGGCGCTTCCAGATCTCGAGAACGGCTGGGCCGATTGCGCTCAAATTTGGTACACGGTTGGAGACCGGTTAGTAGGGTGCCGTGCAAAAGTCAGTTTGGACCCCGTTTGCACGTGCGCACGTGCAGAATGCCGCTTCCAGATCTCAGGAACGGCTGGGCCGATTGCGTTCAAATTTGGTACACCGCTAGCGACCGGTTAGAAGGGTGCTTTGCGCAAGCCCGTTGGAAGTACCCTCTCGCCCTTCCGCACGTGCAGGGCTCACTATCTCGCTCGCTCGTTCTTCGCCCAAAAGGCGTTTTACTGGTAACTAGCGTATTATAAAAACAGTTGGAAACTGGGAAAGAATATAAACACAATCGAGCGATTTGCAAGTAGCAATAAAAAGTAGTAAACCTAGCCCACTAAATGAAATAGCAGTCCTCTGAAAACATTTCTTACAAGGCTACGTCACAACGGCTCGCAATGAAGCGATAATTATCGATTACACCACTTTTGTGCCACAGCCCCGGGCTGTGCCGCTGGCGCCGCCGCTCACCAGGTGCGGGAGCCGCTGCTGAAGCGCCTGCATCTCCTCGTAGCCGTAGATCTGCTGCACACCCGGGTAGAAGGTGGGCATGCCCGTCTGGCCGACAAAGTACTGCATCGGCACGCCCGGCGGCACGCTAGGCACGCTGCCCGACCGCGCTGAAACACAGCAAACACACCCGATCAGTGAGGCCGTGCCTTTGGAGCACGGCAGAGAGAATACAACTCCCCGACCGCGCTGGAACAGAGGGGTACCTTCAGGACAGGGCAGAGAGAATACAGCTCCCCGACCGCGCCGGAACAGAGGGTTACCTTCAGGACAGGGCAGAGAGGATGCAGCTCCCCGACCGCGCCGTAACACGACACAAACACCCGGCCAGAAGCAAGGAACGACTTCGGAACACGGCTGAGAGAATAACAACTACTGGTCCGTACTATGATCCATGAATTTCACACAGCAGTTCTGCATGAGCACTGAGCAGCCTCCCCAGCCTCCAGGGCGGCGGACGGGCGGCCCTTCAGCCGGCCGGTTGGCGGTACTCACTGGACGCGGCGTGTGTCCGTGCGGAGGCGTTCTGCGCCGAGCTGGGGCCCGCGCTGGTGGCGCTGCTGCTCAGCCCGGCCGGCAGAGACGAGGCGGCCGTGGACACGCCGTCCGACAGCGAGCTGGCCGGGCTGGACGGGTCGTACTGCCGGGACGGCCGAGACGGGGCTGTCAGAGGGGGGCAGCGGGGACAGCCGGGACGGGGCTGTCAGAGGGGGACAGCGGGGACAGCCGGGACGGCGAGCTGGCCGGGCTGGACGGGTCGTACTGCCGGGACGGCCGAGACGGGGCTGTCAGAGG